TTATAGTGTCCGACCCCAAGTCGGTAGTATGCTTTGAAGAACTGATTGAAATTGAAATATGTTTATTGAGGTAAAATACACACAAAGGGATGAGGTAGCTCAAGCTATTCTCACCCCGTTCAGTACATCGTGTTAATACATACATATAAACACATCACAAACAATAAACATATTACCAAACATTCTGAGAGATAAACATCTACATTTCCTAAACTTGGTTGTATAGTGCACTAAAGAATAAGGGGGGATGAACAATACACCGTTCCCTTCAATAGATTTACACTTTCACCATTAAAAATATATATATATTAGATTATAAGTTATAATAGATTATAATTACACATACATTAGTGTCACTTTCACGCAAGACACTAGCTACTACGTTGGCAGTGTTCAACTCCAGGGTTTCCCTCGCCCAGTACCGTGTGCACGTGTACTGACAAAACACTGCCGAATTCACCTTTTACGTGGGCCAATCCACCGACACAGTCTCACGAGGTGCCTACACCTCCTCTTTCACTCTCCAGCTACACACTGGTAGAAGACTTCAGCGATCACGCTGACAGGGGTCCCAAACGAATTCACACAGGGGTAGCTAATCCCTCAGCAGAAGCCTCCAGCAGCTTGCTAGCAGCACTTCTCGATAGGCGCCTCACTGTCGTCCGCTACTCTCCCAAGCCAATCCCGGGTACGTTGATCTATACCAACTGCGTAAATCAGCAGGTAACACACTGCTCAGATCGACGGCGGCTTACTTAGTCTGCCAGGACCAAGCTGAGAGTACGTGGACTGTCCAAAATAAATTCCCTTCCTCAATACAATCAGCTCCACACTTCATTTCTCTGGACATAAAACGTCATCAGTTAGATGGACGGTACACTGGGGAAACCATGAGGTAACACTCATTCATCTGGGAGTTGACATTATGCTCGTAGCACAAACTAGGTGGCGTTGATTATGCTACGCCACCCACCAGAGGTCATCCATTTCGGCCTCTCCTTCTGATTAAGGCAGGAAACCAGAGTCATTTGCCGCTGTCAGGCCACCAAGAGATGGCGTTGTCCACGTAGCGTCCAATACCAGGGGAGTTTGAGTGCAGACTCATAGGTGGCGCTGGAAGTGCCACGCTACACTCCGACGGTGGTGATGATGCCGTAACACTAATTTATTTTCCACCTCCTTTGAACAGTCAGTAGCTGAGTGTGAGTTGTGTCCCAAGGTAGTTAGCAAAGTTTTAAGGTACAATTTGTCTGCCGTTCTTTGTTAATAGTTGTTTGCTTAACAACTTCTCAACAACTACCTGTGTATGTACATCTTGCAAGTTTATACCCGGGTGTCTGTTCCGTGCTCCTGTGTCTATAGGGAGACAGACAGGCAGCCAGGCAGACTAAGAAAGTATGCAGGCAGGCAGAAAAGCACACACATGAAGGGCAGGTAGTCAGTCAGGCATGTACTCCGGAAAGAAGCCAGACAGACAGGAAGGGAAGGAATAGCAGACAGGTGTGAAGGAAGACTGGCAAACAAGTCAAACTGGTAAATAGAGAAAGCAGGTAGGCAAACAGAGAAAGATTCACGCCAACAATAAGGCAGGCAAGTACTTGAGCAAGAAAGCAGGCAGGCAAGCAGATACAAAAGCAAACATGCAAGAATGTATAGTTCGAGTGTCTCTTCGTTGTTTGAAGAGACAGCATAAAAGCATGAATCGGTGGGAATGGATGTACCGAGAACTTTACCTGGAAAAATACTGGTTTTACGGCGCACCTTGTTAGCTTTAATGATTATGATCAGAGAGCGAGAGAGCAAACGAGAGCACGGGGGGAGAGAGAGAGAGCAGGCAGGCGAGAGTGAGAGAAAAATGCAAGAGAACAAAAGGTATCAGTGTTCGCGTGACCTGATTTCAGTGCACAGATCATTCTGTTTCCATGTTCTTGACTCGGGTGGAATACCAACTATACCAACGTGACATGGTTGGTATTCACGGGACGTATACCAGTGTCCGCAGAAAGTGTACCAAGCTTAGCAAAATGTATACCAGAATGGTACTTCAGCGTTCACCAAACTCCGCGAATAATGTTAAAGAACTTGGAGAAAATAGCACCCCCAAGCGGCAGACACCTTGGCGGAGATGCCACGGAGTTGAGCCCCTTGTTAGTTGAATCATTTCTCTGAGGATTAACGTGAATTTTCCTGCTGACTAACTGTCAGTTTTGTGGAGTCCAATTGTGGAGGAAAAAAATCTAAACCCTGTAAGTTTTCGTTGTTTGAGTCTGTCTGTCTGTCCTGTCTGTCCTGTCTGTCCTGTCTGTCCTTCCTGTCCTGTCTGTCTGTCTGTCTGTCTGTTTATACAAGCACGCAGGGAAGAGTGCTTAACTCCTCTGGCAATTTATTCACCGGAGAGAGAATGATAATAATATAGAGAACATTAAAGATAAAATGGAATTAGTTCATTTTTAATTGCAGGAGTTACATGGAATACACCGACGTTGAAACGTTTCAGACTGTCTCTCTTACATTACTCTTAGAGTTCAAGAGTATTATTGATGTCCTTGTAGCTATGCCACCAGCTGCGAGATCTGACCTTACATCCACTCGGTGTCAAGCCTGTCTCTAGAGTCTGGTGTACTCATTATTTGAGTTTTTAATATATATATATATATATATATATATATATATATATATATATATATATATATATATATATATATTATACAGTACTTTGTTTTGTGACGGGTTACACACGTATTAGATAGTGAAGCGGGAGGAGCTATCTGTGGGCCAGAGCCTTCAACAGTCAGTTGATAATGTTTTCTCAAATATATATTTGTTAGTAAATGATCTACTGATTGAGCATCTTAGATTGTAGGTGCCGTCTTCAGGTTGTCCACGAAGTTGGGCCCGGTTAGGATCTTGAGATCACTTGCCTTGAACATTGCTGTAAGGCCATAACGCCTCTCTAACGAAGACTAATAAACTGACTAGATGAGCCAGAACTCGTCATGATATGAGATGTCATGTGTTGGAAAGTTCTCTACCTGTTTCTCTACGGGAGCCGGTCGGCCGAGCGGACAGCACCCTGGACTTGTGATCCTGCGGTCCTGGGTTCGATCCCAGGCGCCGGCGAGAAACAATGGGCAGAGATTCTTTCACCCTATGCCCCTGTTACCTAGCAGTAAAATAGGTACCTGGGTGTTAGTCAGCTGTCACGGGCTGCTTCCTGGGGGTGGAGGCCTGGTCGAGGACAGGGCCGCGGGGACACTAAAAAGCCCCGAAATCATCTCAAGATAACCTCAAGATAACCTGGTCCATAAGCTTGTAAAAAATGAAAAGGGATTTATCATTTAAGAGAGTAATGCATACCCAAGATGGAAGCTAATTTGTTGTTTTTAGTGTTTTGCAACCGCTGCTGTCAAGCAGATATGAGATGTGTATATATTTATGCAGTTTTCTTTGCCACCATTCTAGTTAGTTTGGACGCATACTAGTACAAACTCACGCATTTGGACATAGTTATCGAAAAAACAAAACTTCGCCCCATAATTTCCACTTCAGTGTTGATTTCTCCATTTTTTCCACTAATCCTTATGCTTGTTCCATTTGCTATATCACTTGTCTTTTATCAGCATCATCTGCATTTTCTCAGCGGCACTTGTGACCTGCACTCGCCTGCCCTCGGTAGATGTTGCTGCAAGGTGGGCAGTAGGAACAGTCACAAAATTGTCCAGAGCGAAAACTGTTAAGAGTTTATCAAAGTCCCTCTACACGAAATACTCTTTGATACCATGGGTTGGTCGGTATAACAACGGCCTCGCTTTCTGCAAGGTCATTGTTCGATCTAAAGTTGTCAAAGTGGTTGGACACTGTTTCTTCACTCGATCCTCATTATCTAGTTCCTTGTCCTCGTATCCTTCCAAAGTGCTGTGTAGTCAAACTAGCTTGGTCTTTTTTCAGGGTAATTGCTTGAATTATCTTCCACAATAATAATGTGTGTATAGTTGAAATAGTTTAAGTCTAGTTTACCCACCAGTAAGTTAATGGTATCGATATCCTGCTGTGAAGGTCGGTACATTGCTCACACAAGTAGGGGAGTTACGGAGTTTATACGTAGTTTGATAAATATAATTTCTAGGTTATAAAGAATCACAATATCAACGATATGGGTGTATACAGATTTACTGTAGCTAACTGTAACATTTCCTCCGTGGCCCAGCACGTGACGTTACATCCCTGAGACGTGGCCTTCAACTTTTTAAAAGTTTCCGGATGTCCTGACGTCCAATGATGTACATCATACTACGACCTGTTCCGTATGGGGAGTTGTCCCTAGGCTGTGCGTGAGCTTTCCAGTGTCAGTAATGCAGCCCATTATGTTAGCATACATTATGATAATGAATTGGTTCCTTACGTCTGGGGCCGCTGGTTAATTAGGAAAATGAATGTGACGGACGCACCTGTAGATGGCAAACTTGTTCTGCATAGGTCTGTTCTGTGTAATGCATGAAACCTTCTAGAGAGCTGTGGTGTGGGGTACGGGCAGCTGGGTGTGGGGTAAGGGCAGCTGAGTGTGGGGTACTGACAGCTGGATGCATTATACGGATAACATAGTGCGTACCAGGACTGACTATTTCTTGGTCTGCTCATATGTGCTTTTCTAAATTATTGATTCGGCATATCAAAATCCGTTTTCTTAGCAGCGATAGGTGTCCTCTTGATGCCCTCTCCTGTATTAGTTGATCAGACTGTTGCCGAATTTGGTGAGATAGCACCTGTTATTGGAGTTCGAGGTGGTTATGGACGGAGGCCTCGCCAGCGTCCAGCACTTCCAACAAGTCTTTCGAACCCAACTAGTCCCTGATGTGGTTTTTGTGTGCCGTTAATGCGGGCGCAATGGATGTTGCCTGGTTGTCGTGTGAGGCAACAGTAGGCGGGGAAGCTCATCTGACCAACCGAACACCAGAGTGCGACCAGCGGCTGATGGCTTCGAGCTGCCATCACTCTCTACTATATGGTTTCGTGCTGGCCGGCATTGGCTTCAACACCGCGATACATGAAGGTCCTGCAGAGGGTTATTTTCACTGCTGGTTTTATTGGATTCTGATTCTCTGTAGAATATTTAGACGACTAGATTTCCCTCAAATTTCTGTTTGTGTTCATGCTTTATCTGACGGTCTTGGCCAAGCACACGCCCTCAAAGAGGTTCATGGGTGACTCCCTCTGCTGAGGATCTTTAGGGCAAGCTTTAAACAGTCATGAGTACGCTATTGGTGTTGACCACTTTGAAGGCCTGCAGGACCTCTCAGACGTGATGGTAATCCCGCCTGTGGTTCCTGAGCTGCACCAACATCGTCGATACGTCTGATGAATAAAGGTCGACGTATGGTCAGTGGTTTGACCTGCACCTTGCAACCTCTTTGTCTTAGTTGCGTCGCTGTGATGACTTTGGACTGTAACAAAAGACGGCTTTAACTCTTCAAATTTTGCGACGTTGTGGAAAATGTACAGTATTCTTCTCTCTAATCTCTTTCTCATCTCCTCTGTGCTCTTTCTTCTCTCCTCTCCTGGCTGCTCTCTCTGTCTCTGGCTCGCTCTCTCTCTCTCTCTCTCTCTCTCTCTCTCTCTCTCTCTCTCTCTCTCTCTCTCTCTCTCTCTCTCTCTCTCTCTCTCTCTCTCTCTCTCTCTCTCTCTCTCTCTCTCTCTCTCTCTCTCTCTATTCACTCTCCTCCCTGATTCAGGTCATGGAAGAGAGCGACACAGCCGCATCGATTTCAGATGAAGTATCTTAAGCCCGTCCTTCACCGAGTTGTGTGTTGTGCTTGTGGCGTCTCTAGGGTTTTACAGCTGTTGTTGCGTGGGTGGCGTGCTGGTCTTGAGCGCTGGTATGGAGGGGGTGGTGGTGAAGGAGGGGGCGGGGTTACCGGGGGTATGGGGAGGGAGACAAGTGGACTATGGGGTAGGGGTGATGGTAACAGGTGGGGGTTATGTATGAGTTGACACAGTTTACTTATACGAAACTCCCCACTCGGAGTAGGAGCCATCGTCATAACAACTGCCCTTCCGGCTGCACCAGTAGGTAACCAGTTTGGGAGAGGAAGCACTTTGTGAGCATTTGTCTGGCCTAAAGTTGGAGGATATTAATCCAGACTTCTTAACAGCGTCACGTGTAACGCACGAGGGCAACAGCTTCGTGCTCGACAAGCCACAAGGTAGGACAGAAAACAGGTGATTCATTTTCACCCACAGGGTTATAAGGCCATGAAACCGCTAACCCGCCGAAGTCGTAAACGGCAAACGGACCTTTGAACAATGGGGGTGTTAGGTCAATTTAAAAATTTTGCATGTGTAATTCATTGCGTTTAAAATATACAATGCCATTCGACTTCTCCGCTTTGGTGATGAGATTTTTTCCATGGGAATAAAACAGTTTTTTATAGATATTGCATATTCACCATAATCGCCCCCCCCCCCCCACATTAACTACAGCACAGGTCAGGCAGGTGAAGCGTGCCACCCACATCAACACTGCCGAGTCAAATATGTAAAGGGATCTGCACCACGAATTCAACTTCGCCCCTGTAGGATCTGAGACCCCTGGGCCATTTTTCCAGCAACTAAAAGTGCCGGTTCAGAGGAAATGTTCCCTCCATTCTTAGTTCCTGCCAGACATTCGAGAATCTCCCAAGATCTCCACAACCATGTATCTTACTATATTCCATTTTTGCAACTAATCCGTTATATAGATTATACATTTATATGTGATGAAGCTCCAAAGATTAAAAATACAAGCTTCATCAATATAGCTTTAATGTATTATTGTGTGAGTGACCAGAAGTGTTGTTCTGTCACAGGAGCTGGTGGTGAAGCTGGTGGCCATGGATTCGGACAAGTGGGCAAGTCCAAGCACAGTGGGGGAGGTCACTCAACCACTTAGAGACATAAAGAACCTCGCCATCTTGGACCACCGAACTACCCTCAACTACTTCCTCGCACCTCCAAAATTGGTAGTTAGCTCATTTATTTGTGAAACTCGTGTTTATTAATTCTGTAATGTGTTACTGTATGTAGTAATCAAGTAGATCATCTTGTTTATAGAGGCTGTGCTTTGATTGTCTCGCTTCTCGTTAGTTAAAAGCGCATCCGTGTAAATAAGTGAATGTATGTGTGTGTTGAGTGCTTTTAGAATGTGTACATGAACACGTACAGGAGATAGTACACGTACACGTACATGCATTCAGTCAGGAGACAAACGAACCCTGAATATTTGTGTGTAGGGTATGACGTGCACAGCGGAGAGGGGCGCCCTTTCCCGCCAGCTGTGACCTGGTCGTGGGGATGACGTCTGACGAAAGTCCGTGCTCAGCCTCCACTCTTTAACACGCTACTGATAATGTTTTGCATTTAAAAAAATATGCAGAGGAACACTCACTCTCACTCATCCTTGCTCTCTCTCTCTCTCTCTCTCTCTCTCTCTCTCTCTCTCTTTCTCTCTCTCTCTTCATCTCTCTC